CTCCGTTGCTGCCTGGTCGTGGCTCTTCATGAGCAGCTCGGCTGAGATTTAGCTAGATTACGCCCTGAGCTTTTGCAGCACCGCTGCTGCGACTGCAGGAAGTCACATCATTGCAGCACTGAAGTACAGTGTAGAAGTAGCGACCACTGACCAGAAAGCAGGTCTGAGAACTGGAAAAGAAACACAGCACTTAACACGGTAAATATATCAGCTCTTCATGAAGGTCTTAAATGCAAATAAGCAAAAAAATGCGGAAAAAAAAAAAAGAACAGAAAGGATATTGATTTCATAATGCTTAATATTTGCAAGTTTAATAATGATCTGAATTTAGGTCACTGTGGATTTAATTATGTAAACACCCCCATCCACCCCCCAAAAATCTGGATTGTGCTGCTTCCACGGAGCATTGCTTTCCTAACAGGCTGCAAGAACAATTGTGTTACTCAGGCCTGATACTCTGAACAAATTCCTTGGCACAGGCTCCGTTTCAACTGATGCCATCTAAAAGACTTTTTCCTGTCAAAAGGAAGACAAATATTGCATCTGCAATACCTCTGCGATGCCCTAACCTGTAGTTTTACCCAGAACTACTGTCACTACCAAAGTTCTCCTGCTCCAGCTGCACTACATATACCTGCAATTTTGAGGAATTCAAGTCACAGCTTACATTGTCATAAACTGACATAACATTATGGGGCTTTGACAGCTCCGGATCGCCCCAGGGAGCAGCAAGCAGCTGTTGAAAGCTTCTCCCCCCTAAGCCTTTTGTCTGGTTCTAATCACTCCTGAGAGCAGTTAAGAGCCGAACACAGATGAAGTGGACTCGCCGAGTTTGAAAAATGCAAGTAGGAGGAACACTCGCCATTCAGAAAGCATGAAAACAGGTGGACATGCGGTAAGGATGGCTTCAAGGGGCGTCCGACGGCTCGCTGCGCCTGCAGGGCGTTAGCGCAGGGCCCTGCGGCAGCGCGCGCTTCCCTGCTTCCCACCACAACCCGCTCCAAGGCTGCCACATTCAAACCTTGGCGGTCGGGAGCTCTGTACCTTGTCCCCTTGCTATTCCTTGTCAGCTAATTCCAACAAAACAGGAACGCACTCAAAGCTACTGCTCATCCTTCGCTGACCATCAAACCCTTTAACAGTTACATCCAATTTTGTCAAGGAACTGGGGTCCGTGAAGAGCAGCGCTCAGGTAGAGCTCCGGTGCAGTTACATAAGGCTTTGTGTTGGCGCTCGTGCTTCCAGTTTTTCACTCGATTCCTTCTCCAAAGCACCTGAAGGAAGCGGCCTCCACACCCAGCTTTAATTTCCCCGAAACGCTTTCTCGCCTGGGTGAAAGCCGAGACAGTGTCTGCATTGTATGGCCGCCCGGTAACAAACACTTGCTGTGCACAAAGTTCAGCACGAGGACAAAGATTTGGAATTTTGTTTTAATCCTCAAATAAACTAGGTAAACAAGTTTGTTAATGCCCCTTTTGTTCAGGCAAAAGTTTGGCCCTCTTGGACCCATCATTATGGGAACCGCAAGAGAAAAAGGAATGAGAAGAAGTGGGTGTCCCCCACCGCGTCCTGACCGCAGCCCCCCGGCTTCGCGAGGCTCGCGCTGGCCCACGGGGGCTCCTCAAAGCCTCACAAAAGCACGTGAAAGATTGTGGATCTGTCCCAGGCAGGCAATGGGTTAACAGGAAGCAACAGCAAAAACCAAAAACCAAAATCCAAGCAAACGACCAACCACCAAAACCCAGCAGCAAAATCAATGGGAATAAAGGACTGGTCCTTCCAAAAGTAAACGGCAAAGGGGCAAAATTTGATGATGGCAAAAAGTTACTTGGAGCAGCAAGAGGAGACTGACTGCAGAGCAACTGCATGAAAAAGAAGGTACGTTAAAACACAGGGAAAAGTGACGCTTGTGGAGGAAGCAGACACTTTCCCACCATCATCCCAGGCATTTCTGCAAGCCCCTTTCCTCGGGCTAATTTGAGCTTCCTACAATCGCATCATCTGACTCCTGTGGAGAGGAGCCCAGACTTCCCACAATTAACCCCAACTAAGATAAAGTTTTCTGAAAACATATGCCTTCCAGCTTCAAAACTTTCCATTGATGGAGAAAGCCACTATAAATCTCACCAAACTGTTCTCATGGGAAACTGCATACCGATAAAAGTCCCCATTTCCAGCTTGAACGGGTCCATCTCTAACATGGAGCTACTGAGCTCCTTTAGCTCAAAAAGCCCCTTTCTAAAGTTTCAGTTCCACGTGCAATAATGTGATTTTTTTCCATTTGTCCTTGCAGGTTTTTATATTGCTCTTGTTAAACCATGCAAAACATCTTGCAGGGTCAAGTCAAATGCCTTACAGCAATAAGGCACATCAATGTATCTGGAATATAAAAATATCATGTTATCCCGATTAGATCTGCTTTCCATAAACTGATGTTAACAGATATGCTGCTTACTTTATAAGACCTGCATTAATGTATGACTAAGTGGCCTATCACCTTTATCCTTTAAAAATGTAGCTAAATGGAATTTTCCAGATCTTTCCCACTGTCTTTTCCTCAAGTTTACACTCCTCTTATATTCTTTTTAGGCTAGACTTAACCGAACGTAGAGCACGAGGCCATTCAGGACTGCACACAGCGTAGCCTGCAGCACGACACTCAATAGCTGTTTTGCCAGTAGGTCACTCCAGGTTTACCCAGGTTGTGTGGATCAGCCCAACAATTCGCTGTAACAGCCAAAACTACCTGTGGCAGAGAAAAAGTCCTGCAGGGAGAAAGGCCTTTAAGGGGCAATAAGCAGAGAGGGAGGAAAGGAAGAACATACTACTCTAATTCCAAGACAAAACCATCATTGTACATAAATCCCAACTGGATTTTTTTTCCCTTTTTCATTGCAGGAGAAGAGGCAGCATTTGGGGGGTTTATTTCATCTAGTCTAGATTCACAGTAAGAGGGTGAGTTTTGTTTCCAATACATGCAGCAGGCTGAGACTTTGGGAAGAAAGAAAAGCTCCACTTCAGGAAGCCACATGTCGGTTCCTGTTTGTGGTATCGCCACATGAAGTACAAAAGCACTCAAGCAAACCAAAATCCAAGGTTTAAATCGTTTCATAGCATATACATGTTAAAGGAACAAGTACAAATATTACAAAATGAACCGACTCACTTTTAAAATACTTATATTTGTTTAACCGTTAAAAACAGACACATACAGAAAGAGGCAGCAAGGCCAACAATTTCCTGCTGCTGCAGTTAGCGTTGCCTGCGTGCGCTGGGGGAGCTACCCTGGTACTGAATCTCTGGACATCGTTTCTGGAAAGGACTGTAGACAAGTTGCAGTTTATTTCTGACAATGCTACGTGAAAGCTTGAGGCAATCCACAGGGTCACCAGCAGCTGTTTCACGTTGTCTGTCTGGCTTAACAAAAAGGCATAGAAAGAGAAAGGTTATCTGTGTTTTACTGCAGAGAGAGAGCGCGCGCAGGCACGCGCACACCAGCGAGAGCACACGCACAGGAGGAAGAACAGGAGATGGCACTCGCCCTGCCACAGATGAAGAGAAAGTAAGACAAGGTGTGTTTGTCCCCGAGATAGGATACATGGAGTTTGGTATTAGCTTGGTCCCTTGGATGTCAACATCGCTTTACAGACTCGGAACTAGAAGCGGAGCACAAGGGGTTGGGAGCCCGGGCGTCCCCGCGGTGCGCGCGCACCCTCTCTCTCTCACACCCTCTCTCAGGCTTTCCAGTGTTCCAGCAAGGTCATTCAAGAGGATTTCCCATCCAACATGTAATAGCGATACATTAAACCTAGGACCAGCGCGCCGAAGATGGGGATTAGCCATGTGGACCAGAAACTACAGGGAGAAAGAAAAAAAAAAAAAACCCACACACAACATAAAACAGAAGAAAGAATAAAGTTAATGATTTATTCAAGATGTCGAGCATTTCTTACATGTTTTGATCTAGGAAACCCTCAAGAGCTGCCTCACTACCTAACACACCAACCCTGTCCATCTCGGTCCCCACAGCAGGACAGCCCCAGCCAGGAGCTCTGCCCGGCCCCGAGCGAGGCCCCTGTTGCTGCAAGGATGGCTTAGTTGCTTATAAAAGAGCAGCTGAACTGCTGAGGTTTCCAGCACAGCACATACAGAAACCAATTTGTTTTTTGTTTTGGGTTGTTTTCTTAAATAAGCCAGGCTGTAATTTGCGCTATACAAACAGCTGAGTTGACTCAAGGATGGAAATTGCTACAGCTATCCCACAATAAATCTTCTTCGCTCATAAACCAGAAGCCACAGGCAGTGCTAGGAACTCACCTTCAGCAGCCTCCTTGGCAAAAAAAGTTCTGCATGAACTACAAAAGATCTGAGCCCTGTCCTGGTTGTAGGCACTGCTGAAATTTCAGCTCAACTAGGCTGTTTGCTAGAAAGACCCTCCAAAAAATGTACAGGACCGTGCTGCACCGGCCCCTGGCTTGCAGTGACCTGCAGGAACCCCCCAACAACCGCAGCAGTGCCAAGGGGCTGCAAACTGCAACGCAGCAGGTTCCGGGTGTTGCGCCCAGCGGCTGTGCTGCCACAGCCAGCAGCAGAGGTGTAGGCACCGCCGGCGCTCGGTGTGCACAGCCTGACAACCTGCTCTGGGCTTTCTGCTTGCCGGGAGGCCGGCGCAGTAACGTTGTGGAGGGTTTTGTTCCTTCGTGCTGGGGCTAACACGTAGTTCTACAAACGGCAGGTCCCAATCCCCCAGTCTCGTATTTGAAGAAGATACTGTACCTTGTTTGGCCCGAGGACGTCACATTCGGTTCCTGAAGGAAGAAAGGGAATGGAGTGAGCAGTGGAAAAAAGAAATATTACACATGTGCTAATAAAACTACAAGACTGAACACCTGGTTACAGAAACAGGGGAAAAAAACTTCTCTTTTTTTCCCCAAACACTCTCTTTCCTGTCCGTCAGGAAAGTGGATGCCTCCTTCCCCACCTCTGCATTCTTTCCATCAGTCCGATTCCTGCCGCCCAGTCCTCGCCCTCACGCTGGAAGCGACACCTCTTCCAAAACCCCAGGCCTCGCTCATCACCTCTCAGCTCCCTCCAACTCCTCCCTTGCATGCAAACTTATTCCCAACTTTAATATTTCTCCTTTCATAAAGTTTTGGGGATTTAGCCCAGCCATGTGAAGCTCTCCGCGAGGCTTCGTCAGCTCTCTCGGCTACAGCACACGCTCTGCCTCTGCCCCTGCCTGCTGCAGCGCTGCTGCCCTCTGCTCTGATCAGCCTCTGCCTGCCCCGACTGGCCCTTCCTGCCCATCCCAGCCCCTTCCATGGGTCTCCTGCCTGTCCCTGCCGCGACGCCCTCGGCGGATGCTGAACACGGACTCTTGTCCAGGGATTTACCTTCGGGCTGACCCGCAGGAGGGTGGCTGTGCAGCCTTCCTTTTGGTGTCCCCTTTCCCATTGCTATTATTTTTAAAAATATGCCCAAATATAACTTAAATCTGACTTTGCACATTGAGGAAAACAAACAAACAAACAAACAACCTCAGCTCTTAGCTGTTAATAAGTCACTGGACTTTCTCCTTAGAGGTCTTTGTAAATATTGATAGCAATAGAAGAGAAGTCAATTTTCCGGTTCATCCATGAACATCAGAGATTTAGTAAGGTCTTTCCTTAGACAGTATTATAACATAGGATCTATTTTTAAAAATAAATCCAAACAAACAAAAAAAGAATTTGCAAAAATATTTCACTCTTAACTCTAAGACAGCTATTGAGATTAATACCTATTTTTACACACACTTCGGGTCTGTGACATGCGAAATAGAATCAAACAATAAACTGAAAGATTAATATATGCATCATCATGCAGCTCTACTTCATAACCACGAGTAGGTTTCACCCAGCCTGAGCTGCTCTTTCCGTGGCCGAGTGTAACAAACAGTCGGTCCCAAGGGCTGCAGTTGCTGCCCGCTCCGTGCACGGTTTCCGCGCCGATTCCCAGTACTCTGCGAGTGGCCCTGCTTTGACAACATCTAATGAAAGCGGTGTTGACGGCAGAGCTGTCTCTGCTCCAAGCCTTCAAGCCAAGCACGAAGAGCAGCCAGCTGCGAGACACACGTTAACTCTCAAAGGGGACTCGATTTATTAGCATTTCCCCAGCCCCTTCCATTTCAAAGGCGTTTCTGCAACACTGTGTCCCATTCTGATCCAGGCGTACCTGAGTTTTAAGCAGCCCCAGTGATTTCTCGGGCAGTCAACAGAGAATTCTTGTTTTACAGCCAGCCCCACAGTGGCTGTGCATGTCTCCTGGCTTGAATGCAAGAACACTAACAGCCCAGGGATCGGGACGCAGCGAGGTATTAAAAAAGAAAGTCTGTGGCTCAAGGTGTGGTAATAACATCACTGATGGCAGGCAAGAGAGGGCACAGAAAACACTCCAGTTTCACACTGAAGTGCCTGCTGAGCTCCTCAGCAAAAACAAAGGAGTAATTTGCTTGGCAGATTTATTTGTTACTGTAGTTTGTCTAAACAAAGCAAAAGCCCCACAGAAAAAAAAAAAAGGGGGGGGAAGGGTGTTTACTCGACTTCTTCCTTCTCCTAGCCTTG